AAGGTTAAGTATTAAGGTCCGATTTAAGGATTTATTAATTCAAATTAATATTTTATGAAAAGTTGTATATTGACATACACAGAAAAGAACAGACATTAACAAAAGAACAATGACACTCAAAACAACTCTATGATGTAGTAAAAATCTTCAGCCAGTGTCTTCAACATCCTCCCTTTTTGACTACATCATTGTGAGTCCAATTTCTTTGGATATCTGAAGAAGCTTTGGTCTGTGGACCGCTTTTGTCAGAATGTCCGCCAATTGAAATTCTGTCGGTACATACTCTACTGTAATATCGCCATTTTCTATGTAGAAATGTCGTATAGCAATATGTTTAATTCTTCTATGCATTTCAGGATTTTTAGCAATCTTTACAGCTGCATCATTATCAACTTTGAGTTGAGGTACCTCTTTGAGAGGTACCTCAACTCAAAGTTAAACAATCTTTTCAGCCAGATTATTTCTCGAGCTGCTTCGCTGGCAGCAACCAGTTCAGCTTCTGTGCTGGATATGGCAACACAAGTCTGTCTACGACTGCACCATGAAATTGCTGCTCCTGAATATAAGTATAAAATTCCAGACGTTGAACGTCCTGTGGATGCATCACCCGCATGATCTGAATCACTGTAACATTCTAGGATGCCTGTCCTGTATTCCTTTTTATAGACAATACCGTAGTCCAGTGTTCCCTTAATGTATCTCAAAATTCTCTTGACCCTTAAAACGTCTGCAAGTGTGGGCTTATCTAATGCTCTGGATACCACACTAATAGCATAAGCTAAATCTGGTCTACTTCCAACCATAAGGTAGGTCAAGGCTCCTACAGCTTCTCTATAAGGAAATGTATTTCCATCTATTGACTCTTTTTCCAAATCATTCATATCTTCTTTGACAATAGGCGTTGTAACTGTTTTACAGTCACTCATCCCAAAACGTATTAAGAGCTTTTCAGTATAGTGCTTTTGAGAAAGTTTAACACTAGACTCTGTTTTTGTGATTTCGAGACCAAGAAAGTAGGTTGCTAGTTTGATCGTTAGTTTGAAACGTCGTGTCAGCTCTTTCATAAATCTTTTTGATTCTTGTGGATTACTTGAAGCAACAAGACCATCATCAACATATAACACCAATATGGTTTTAGAATTCCTGGTGTTTCTTATAAACAGACAGTTATCATTATCACATTGCTTGAAGTTAATAGATGTTAGATAGTCAACGATGCATTTGTTCCAGCACCGTGGCGCTTGTTTTAAACCATAAAGGCTTCTCATAAGCTTGCATACGTTATTTGAACCATCATTATAACCCTCAGGTTGTTTCATGAAGATTTCTTCAGATAACGATCCATTCAGAAAAGCTGTTGACACGTCGAATTGTATTAGCGTTAGTCCTTCATTTGCAGCTATGCTCAATACTGAACGTATTGTAGCCATTTTGGCAACTGGACTAAATGTCTCTTCGTAGTAAATGCCTTTCCTTTGTGTATAGCCACGAGCTACAAGCCTTGCTTTAAATTTATCAAGAGATCCATCAGCGTTTGTTTTAGTTTTGTATACCCATTTGCATGAAACTGGCTTTCTGCCTTTAGGTAGTGGCACTAAAATCCAAGTTTTCATCTCCTTAAGTGATTTCATTTCACTATTCATAACTTGAATCCATTGATTCTTTTCTGGACTTGCAAGGGCTTCTTTATATGTCTTTGGATCTTCACCACTTGATAAAATATTTGCGGCAGACATCAAAACATAATCATCATATCGAACTGGTGGTCGTAGTTGAGATCTATCTCTCAATTGCATTCTCGATTCAACAGGTTTGTTCGATATTTGAATCTTCACGCTCATTTACAGTTTGTTTACAGTCAGGTAAATCATTAAATGTTTGAGGCACATCGCAAGTGGGTTCAATGTGAACTTCAGATTGAGATTCAACTTCAGATATTGGCAGATTAAATTCTGGCTCGCATTGTTTTTCACGTTCTTCCTCCCTTGCTTCATACATTTTATGATTGTCGTTGTTTGAAGATAGCTCTATTTCAATAGAAGATTCTTCAAAAACTTCAGGTTCCTCGAGACCAATAGATTTAATGACATTTTCATTGAACTGAACATCTCTAGATCTTATCAAAATATATTTTCCATTTTGTTCACGTTTTAGAAGACGGTAACCATCATCTCCATCATAGCCAATCAGTATACATCTTTCAGCTTTCTTGGACATCTTTTTTCGCTTCTGTTTAGGAACATGTGCATAGCATTCTGAGCCAATTATTCTCAGATGTTTGATTGATGGCTTCCTATTAAACCAGAGTTCATATGGAGATTTATTTGGTACTGGAGTAGGTCCAATCCTGTTGAGGATGTACGTCGCAGTTGATATTAATTCAGCCCAGGTGGCAACGGGTAATTGTTGAGCGTGCATCATACTTCTGGCGGCCTCGACTAATGTCCGGTTTTCACGCTCACTGCTTCCATTTTGTTGCGGCGTATACGGCATTGTAAGTCTTTGAGATGTACCTTCCTGTCGAAGTATTTTTCTCACTTTCTCATTGTCAAATTCTCCTCCATTGTCCGAGATGATCTCTTTAACTGAAAATCCGGCCACTTTATATTCTTGTAGTACTTGCTGTAGTTTGAAATGTACTTCAGACTTATGTTTGATACAAAATACATGACGATATTTGGTAAAATCATCTTTGAATAGTACGAAGTACTTATTTTTGTTGAAGGATTCCGGAAAAGGTCCACAAACGTCAGTATGAATGACCTCTCCTGGTGTCTTAGCTCGTTCTCTAGTCCCAAATTTTCGTCTGTGCATTTTTCCATAAATACAGCCAGTGCATAATTCAGAATCCAGATTAACTTTGAGTCCAAGCTCGTGTTCAATAACCTTCTTAACATGCCCTTTACTTTGGTGGGCAAACCTTTCATGATAAAGTTGCAGGACGTTATCAGTTGCTTCAACAGTGTTTAAGTTAGGAGCGATGTTTGTTAAACATTGAATATTTAACTTGTACAGCCCTCCGTTTTTCACTCGTTTTCCAACTAATTTAACTTTGCCGTTCACTTTCAAATAACAAACTTCTCTCTTTGATATGAATTTGCTTTTGTCTAACATGTCTTGTGCAGCGAGAACTGAGAAGAGATTTCTTTTAATTTCAGGAACATACCAGACATCATGTAGTCTAATGTTTAACTTTTTACCGTTTACAGTGGAAATTATATCAACCGCTCCTTTTCCAATAGCTTTAATCGTACCACTTGCTGTTGTCACTGTGTTATCTTGATTGAAGTATTCAAAAGTGACAAAAATGTCGTTGCGAAAGGTGACGTGATGAGTGGCACCATTGTCGACATACCAATTATTTGGATCTTCAACTACAGTATTCATAGCTTGGCTTGTAGTGATTTGCATTGCCAAAAGGTTCGTTTGGTTGGTATTTTGGGAGACTGTTGGCTTGGGAGGTCTTCCCGCAGAAATCCATTTTAAGCAGTTCTTTATTTTATGTCCAATTTGTTTACAATATGGGCATTTCAGCTTCTTTCCTTTCCGTTTGACATCATCTCTATTGCTTGAAGTCAATAAGCTTCAGCAGCAGTGTCCTCATTTCTGCAAAGTAATGCTTTTTCATGTGCACACAGTTGAGACGTAAGACTTTCTACAGTACGATTCTTCTTCGACAGTAAAATCCAACTCGACTTGAATGAGAAATAGGCTTCTGGTAATGTGTCAAGTATTTTGCATATTAACAATATATCCGGGAGGTCAGACTTCTCATCTTTAACTAGTTCAGTCTTCAATTCAAACCAAAGGTTCTTGATCTTAGACAGATGGGTAGTCATGTCGTGTTCAGGATTCTTTTTGTAACTGAAGAATTGCATACATAAATCATACGATCGGTCTTCGGAAGTTCCATCATAGAGGCGGTGAAGCTCGTCCCAAACTTCTTGAGCAGTACGAAATCTCATAATTTTCTGTACATTTTCATCAGACATATTTGCTGTGAGTACCAGCTGTGCTGCGCAGTCAATTTCATGATACTTCTTAAGAGCTTTTTGATAAGCAGCCCTTGCTTCCTCTGACGCAGCATCATTGTCAGATAGCACTGGCTTCTTTAAGGTACCATTTATTGCTCGTTCCAAATCATTTGCCGAACCTCGAAGCAGTAGGGTTACCTTATGTTTCCAGGTTGGCCAGTTTGCAGCACATTCCAACTTTCCAATATTAATTTCAAATTTTTTCATGGTAATGCTAACGCTCTGCTACCATATTAAGGTCCGATTTAAGGATTTATTAATTCAAATTAATATTTTATGAAAAGTTGTATATTGACCTACACAGAAAAGAACAGACATTAACAAAAGAACAATGACACTCAAAACAACTCTATGATGTAGTAAAAATCTTCAGCCAGTGTCTTCAACATTAAGTAGGTACCTATGAATTCCAACCACTGTTTCATAATTATAACATTTATATCTTTCTTGACGATTATTTCTTTTTTTTATGGAATCATTCAATTGATTTACTTTGTCTCCACTGAGTAATTTCGAGAAATGAGAGCGATGAAGAAAAAAAACGTGAGGAAACCTACATATTTTCAAAATTATAACAATAAATACGTTTTTCGAAGATCTGTAAAGTCCGCCAATCCGCAGTGGGATCGCGTGGACTATCGCCTAATATAATCCCTATGTCTACTAATTCCTCTGTACGGAGACCTTCTCCCAGGAGTGAGAAATTTTTATAGGCTTTACTACCTAACGCTGCAGTGCAGGAAGCACTAATCTAATCAACTCAAATAATTTATTATTCGAAGTAAGAATAAATATACATTTAATCTATCGATAGTCATGTTTTACTAAAGTTTCGTAATTTTTATCCCAGTTTTTAAAAAGTTTTTCTTTATTAAATTTCTATAACCTGTCAATAGAGTCGAATAGTCTAGCCTGTTCATGCATCACTAGACTGTCGCCAGTCAATACCAGCGTCGGAATTTACAGATGTCCCGAAACAAGACCCACGAGCGCCAAGCAACGGAGAGCGGCGAAACCCTAGCGGTGATCAGGGAAGAGCAGTTCTCGCCGACGGCCTCGTCGGTGCGGATCGACGCCAACTTCAAGAGGGAGGCGGACGAAGGGTCTAAGCCGCCCTCCCCCAAGTGCATCTGCTCCGTCCCCGATGTAGGGGAGAAGAGCGCCACCGACGGAGAGGAACTTCGCACCAGGCTGAAAGAGAAGGAGAACGCTCTGCAGGACACGTTCAACAGGAAACTGGAGCGCGAAATAGAACTGTTGAAAGATAAATTCGATTACATACTGCAGTGAGTTGTTACGGAGTATTAGTGTCATTATCAATCATTACAATCAGGAGAATTAAGTTAAAAAAAATAGCACGGCGCGGGTCTTAAAGACGTAGTGGGGATTAGGAATGATGACTAGAATATTTAAAAATCTTATTTAACTTTGAAGTCAATGTTGGGCATTTTTTTTAATAATACAAACTTTATTGATCTAATATTTACAAGATTAAATCTATCTAAAATTACATATTATGTAATAAACCTAATCCACGCGGCATGGTGCCAAGAACGCTAGCTACATTTCCTCGATGAATAGTTATGCTTAACCATTGAACGAGAAAAGAACCAGCTCTCTTGTCACCAGCCGCGGCGTTAAACCCGAATGTTGTGCTGGAATTTGGTTTTCAAATCCAACTTAATGAAAAGGTTCAAACAACATTTTAAAGCTTAAATTTGCCACTATTACAAATACTATTGACGAAAAACAGACAAGTACAATAATTAACTCAATTTTTTTTGTAAAGATTTTTTTAATCAACTTACTTTTTTCAAGAACTGCTGAAGATTCTTCTGATTCGTAAAAATAGGTATTTCGTTATAATTACGACTATCTTGTTCTCCGCCTTAGGAATGAGCAAATACGCACCTCCTACATGCTGTGCGAAGCTCACAGGGAACGGAGAGAGAAGATCAAAGCACTGCAGACGCAGCTCGAGTGCAAAAATCTCGCCGGTCTCATGTACGTGCTCTGTTCCGAGAGGAGAAGGGGCAAGTTTGAGAAGATGCGGATGGCACAAGGTTCCTTTGAATTATCAACTGAGAATAAAAGCGAATAAAATTGGTAAAGTGCGAGTCGGACTCACGCACAAAAGGTTCCATTATATAAAGAAGCGGCAAAAAAAATCATGTCTGTTGTATGAGAGTCCGACTTAAATATTTTTTTATTCTGTCTTTTAGTATTTGTTGTTATAGCAGGAACAGAAATACATCATCTGTGAAAATTTCAACTTTATAACAATCACGTTTCATGAGGTAAAGACTGACGGACCTGGTGACAGACGGACAGGCAGACAGACAGCGGAGTCTAAATAATAAGGTTCTGTTTTACCCTTTGGGTACGGAACCCTAAAAAGTAAAGTAACAGCCGATATATGACCCACTGCTGGGCGAAGGACTCTTCTGTACAGAGGGTATTAGGGCCATCGTCCGCCACACGACTCCACTGCGTGTTGCCGGACTTCGCCTATCTTCGAAATATTTCTATTATTTATTTTGATTCCTCATGATGTTAGCCTTCACCGCTGAGCAGGTGATAAGTAAGCACTTAAAACTAGCAATTTCATTGGTGCCGGCACTGGGGTTGGAACTCCGCATGCTCGAGTATACTGAATTAAAATCGAGCGCCCGAACAGTAAGCTATCACCGCTTAAATAACTGAGAATACCGTATGAAAAATAGCGTCATTCTTAATTTCTTCTTTATGCCAGTTTTATAACGCTGTTCAACTGTGAGGCCACAGTCTTCATTGTTGCACGTATGGGCAGTTCCGTCCTGATTAATAGCACGACCTCGCGGAAGCCCGGCGTGAAGTGTTACACTTCTACGTTTCGTCTGGTGAGGTGAGGTAACCGGGGCCCGCTTTATTAAAAGATGGCAACGCATCTACAACCCTACTGCAAATGTCCATGGGCGGCGGCTATCACTTAACATCATGTGAATCGCCAGCACGCTTGCCATCTCCTACCATAAAAAAATGTAAAGGTCGTCTTCGCCCGCATCGGAACGAGGCTATACGAGTATAATACGGCCAACGAGATAGTTCCTGGTTGGTTGGTAGACTTTGTAACACTGTATGTTCAATTGGAAGTTTGAAGGTGACGTTTTTCTTCTATCGTCGTTTCCATTTTAGTGTCGGTTAAGTACTTATCTAAGTTTCTTAATGCGGTCCAAATATCCGTTACCTATGTTCAATAATCAAATCAATAAGTAATTCTAATGTCAATTTTCAAATGTCCAATTTATTTGATATATGTTCCGGCAACTTTAGCGTACACCAAGAGAAACATAACATAACCATCGCTTAAAGCTTATGTACACGTATCCATCGAAGCTTCGGGATAAAATCTAGGCGAGGTTAAATTAAATATCAACTTAACTAATACAACATTTAGTTTACATCATTATAGCCATTACAACGCCTCCATTGTCTTTTATGTTTTTATACCACAGAATATACCGAGTATATTGGGGCTCTACAAGAAGTGCTGACGGAAGCCCAAACATTGATTCTAAAGCTGGTGAGGGGCTATAAAACGGCATCCCAAGTTGACGGGGCCTGGCGAAAGAAAATGAAAAACGTCATAAACGAGGTATATTATAAGAAATATTTCCGGTTAATTCAAAAAATTCCCAGTGAAAAAAGTTCACGCTGGTCCGTTCGCCCCGTGGGTGTTTAAAATAAAATTTCGCACGTTCAAATCTGTCAACCATAGTTTTTTATTGTAGAACTAGCGACCCGCCCCGACTTCGCACGCGTGCAATGTATCACTACATAGTATAAAACAAAGTCGTCCCGCTGTCTGTCTGTCCCTACATATACTTTGATCTTTAAAACTACGCAATGGATTTTGATACGGTTTTCTTTAATAGATAGAGTGATTCCAGAGGAAGGTTAATATGTATAATTCATGCATAATGTAGTAGAGAAACACTGATTATTTTAGAGGTTTCTAATGCGATGTCTAAAACAAACATTCAGCATTGCACCCGTACGAAGCGGAGGCAGGTCGCTAGTTATACATAATTATAAACCTTAAATCACTAACATCTAGTAAAAAAAAAACCGCAACAAGATCCGTTGCGTAGTTTCGAACATCTAAGCATACATAAGGACAGACAGACAGCGGGACGACTTTGTTTTATACTATGTAGTCATTATCTTTCATTAACTATAGTAATTCTTAGCTTTTGCCGTTTCTCGAAAGTTCCAAAGCTTCGTGCACAACTTCGCCGGTGGGGTTCCGGAGACGAGCCAATACTTCTTCGATCTGTCCAAGCTCATCAAGTCTGAACTCCCCGAAATAGAACTGTCAGAAGACGAAACCACACTGCCAGATGAGGCGCCCACTATAGTCGATGGTAATAATGACATATCTTCATAAATCACACAACAAAACTGCAAATTGTAATGCAATGATTCCAGCAAACGTAGCGAAAACTCACTAACTGATGATATTCTAATAATTTATCGGTAATTAAAGTCGGCAAAGAAGGTTACATTAAAAGAAATAGGATTACTTATTCTATTATTTTTATTTAATAACTAGGTATGTTGTAAAGCTTACAATTTGTTTTGTTTTTATTTTGTTATCACAATCTTATATATTTCATATTTGGCAATAATAAATTGTAATAACATACAGGGTGGCTTTTCTAATGGTGTCCAAATTCACACAGAAGGTTCAGCCTCGGTAGTATAATCGTTTATTGAAATAAAAACAAACTTTTTTTCTTTCAAAAACTTGCCATTCCATTCCTTAAAAAACAGAACTTGTTGTCAATGCGGTAGTCATTCATAAATGCGTCGTAAACTTTTGAAACGAACTTGTGTGCGTGTTAGTTATGAATGATCGCGCGTAAAATAAATAAGTTGCCCATAAATCACGCACTTTTTGAAATAATTTCAAATGAATGTATTTAATTAATTACGAGTGATTTCAAATATTTATCATTTTTTATATAACATTATTTATGTCTAGAATTTAATTAAAAGAAATGGATACACTTAGAAAAGCCTCCCTGTATAGTAGTGTTCCTTTCGTAACCTGTTCGTATACAATATCTGTTAACGTCAAAGAATTCAGTGTGAAATGGAATGTGACGGCACTAAAACCATTCCAAGTGAAATTGGTGTCAACTATTAAATTCCAGGTCACGGCACCTACGTTATTCCAGGTGATATTGGCGTAACCTTTTAAATTCCAGGTGACACCGGGGGGCAGCCGTGGTGGGATATGCTGGACGGAGACAAAGCGCCGTTCGTCATGTTCGGCGACATGGCCGAGTTCAAAGCGCCTTTAAGGAGGGACGTCTTGAAAGCCCTAAAGGCTGACAAGCCGGAGCGAAAGGGATGGCAGCATTACGGTAACGATGTAGATGGCGTGATGACACCTCTTTTTTATTTTTTTATTATGACGCTTCTTTTTTTTTTAAATTGTAATGGCAATAATTATAACGTCTATTTTCGCGCTAATATTCAAAGAGAATGTAACCACTACGTTTAATTATTGCTAATATGAATGTGTTGGCAGAACGGTTTTGAATGCAATCTCTACGTGTTATTGTTATGTATTAAATTCGAAATATTTGTGAAAAAAAAAATGTTTGTGGTGGACCACTTATTACTTAGGGGTATGATAAATAGTTTATGGTAGATTCTCAGACCTGCCGAATAAAATTTAATACAACTATAAAATTTCATAAAAATCGGTTCCCGTTTCGTAGGAGTACTGCAAGTAACGTGGTGATACGAGAATTTTATATACATAAATGGATATATCTTATTGATTTGCCGGCAGTGTTAAACGACAAGTTCCTGAAGATCGACTGTCCAAACGCCGACTTCATTAAGGACGAATACTTAAAGCATTTATCAAAACCGGGGAAGTGGGAATGTTGCACGTTGCAGTTGCAGGACGGGGAGGTGAGAGACTCATTGTTTTATTATTTATTCATTTGCTTATTTATTTATTTATTTACTTACATATTTATTTATTTATTGTATAACTTTTTACACAACAGGGTACAATGGCAGACTTTTTTTTTTATAAAAACATTGCCCTTACGAAAAAAAAATGTGAACCACTAATGTGAACCTAAGTGCATTACATATTTTTGTAATCCTTAATTGGGTGACATGTACTTAATATAAAATGATCAGCACAACTTATGATATGTAAAATGCGGAAATAACGAAAGACCTCAAGAATGCGATAAGTGACTTTGAAGCCCTTAAATAAATATCTTTCTTTTTTAATTTTTTTTGATAAAACGAAACCTATGTCCGTTTTAATACCTCTAAGAATATGTGTACAAAGTTTCATCGTTGTAATTGTTGTAATAAAAGTTGACTAGTTTTGTCGTGAAAGCGTAACAAACAAACTAAAATTCACATTTGTAATATTAGTAAAGATTAAAATTTATATAAAATTTCGTTTAACAAGAGCCCTGATAGCTGAGTGTCCGGGCGCTCGCCTTTAATTAAATATACCCGAGCAACCTGAGTTCGATCCCCGGTGCTGGCACCAATGAAATTGTTTATTTTAAATGCTGACTTATCACGTGCTCAGCGGTGAAGGAAAACGTCTTGAATAAACCTAAATAATTTCTAAATAATAACAAAAACAATATTTCGAAGATACGTGAAGTCCGCCAATCCGCAGTGGGGCCGCGCGGTGGACTATGCCCTGATACCCTCTGTACAGAGGTGGCCTTAGCCCAGCAGTGGGACATGTATAGGCTGTTACGTTACTACTTTTCTCGATTAACACCACCAGAGCACCCCCAGCCGCCGAATGACGCAAGCGAGCGTCGACATCCGTGGAAACATGGGCTCTGTGCTGAGGATCATGTAAGCAACTAGTTAGTTTAGTTCTAACGGATTACGATGGGGAGACGGATACGTTATATCCTTTTACTAGCTGCTGCCCGCGACTACGTCTGCGCAGAATAGGCTGAAGGCGTAACATTCAGACAGAAAGACAGGTATACATAAAAATATGCATATGAATTATAGCCTATGTGTTATTCTGATGTATAAGCTATATTATTGTAAAGTTTCATTAGAATCCATTCAGTAGTATTTGCGTGAAAGAGTAACAAACATCCTTCCATACATACAAACTTTCGCCTTTATAATATTAGTAGGATTAGTAAGGACTAGCGACCCGCCCCGGCTTCGCACGGGTGCATTATACATATACAGCGTGTCTTTACAATCGCGTATTAAACATTTACATTGTTTAAACATCAATATTTTACAGAGTTATAAAATTTTCCAAAACAAAGATTTTTAGAACACCCTTACGTATAAAACTGTAACGTGAAGTTTATTTGTAAAGGTCACAAAGCATATGAATGGGTTGAATGAATTTAAAAGAGACAAAACATACTGTTAGAAGGAGAGGCTTGTAATGCGACGCTGTGGCGTGAGTTGTATAGGATGTTTGTAACTTTTTTTCTTTTTTACTTAATTAGTTTGTTTGAAAAATATTTTTTTTAATTATGGATTTTGTTTAACGTTAATATTTTTTTTTGATTATTGGCAAGTAGCGTTAGACGTGTGTTGTGTCTGTCGCGATGGTAACGTCACGCTGTATACCTTACTCTTGAATCACACTATCTAGTAAAAAAAACCGCACCAAGATCCGTCGCGTACTTTTAAAGATCTAAGCATACATAGGAACAGACAGCGGGACGACTTTGTTTCATACTATGTAGTTAAGTGATGTGTAAAGGCTGCAAGCGAGCTGGCGATTTGCCCAATTAAGGTTAAGGTCAATCACCAGATGTTACGCAGAAGTATAACACTTCCACTTTACGCCGGTCTTCTGTGAGGTCGTGGTACTTCTCCGGACGGACCTGCCCATTCGTGCAACAGCGAACACTATTGCGTGGTCCTAACCGCTGTTGGTTTTGATTTTGCTTCCAATTTAGTTCGTAATGTTCAAAACGAAATTCAGCATTCTAGAGCGACGCTATATCAAATTACGTTGTCTCCGAAATAACCAAATGCAATATTAAATTCAATTTTACGAAGAACTGCATGTCTAAAATGTAACAACACAAAAACAATTCCGCACGGCCGTTTTCCGTTACGCTTATATGTGTTCTGGGGGCGTTTCCAAACTGTGGATAGCGCGACTTATAAACGAAGCCGAGTCATTTCCACCCATCTTTATATGTTTATTATTATTTTAATTGTTGTACATTACAACACTTAAAAATGCGTAATAAACAAAAGCAGTTGCGCCACATTGCACAGAAGAGCAGTGAAGTGCTGGACCGACCTCGATTAATTTTGATACCTCAATTTAATAGATACTAATGAAACGTTGTATTTTTTTTTTCTCAAGAGCATCATCCGGCTACGGCCAGCCAGTGACGAAAGCAACCCTCCTCGGTGCGAGGGACTCCATGGAGATCGCTTCTGCAACAAAACTGGTCCGTTGAAGCGTTGCTTATTATATTAAAAACTAGGTGCTCGCGACTTCGTCTGCGCAGGATTAGTACTTCGAGTAGCTTATTTCCTTCTCCAAGGTCTTATCTATCTTTATACCAAAACTGATCAAAATTGGTTTTTCGTGAAGGCTATCTTTATGTTATAACCTACTAGCTGCTGCTCGCGACTACGTCTACGTAGAATAAACTGAAGGCGTAACATTCAGACAGAAGGGCAGATATACATAAAATATGTATATAAATTATAGCCTATGTCTTATTCTGATGTATAAACTATATCATTGTAATCTTTCATTAAAATCCATTCAGTAGTATTTGCGTGAAAGAGTAACAAACATCCATCTATTAGTAAGGAAGTAAGGATAGTAAGGAAGTAAGAATGTGTTATTCTGATGTATAAGCTGTACGTACTATTGTAAAGTGTCATGAAAATCCATTCACAAGTTTTTGCGTGAAAGTGTAACAAACATGCATAGGTATATCCATACATACAAACTTTCGCGTTTATAATGTTTATAATGTTGAATTATCGATGACCGAGTTTTCGTTAACCAAAAATGTACCAATGTGTTTCCTATTACGGTAAACTACTAAAGATTATATGAATTCAAATGTGAAAATTGTGAAGAAGAAATAAGACTAACCCCTTCCATTTATTATTCCGTTTTCGCAGCGCGAGAAGACGAGGTATTCGCAACACGGCAAAGTTGTTCTAAACATCGGCAATAAACGTGTAAGAATGATTAAATAACTTTACTTTAAAATCTTTTTTTTAAGCTATAGGTACTTCATTTGGCGCGTTTCGAAAAAAATATGACGGTAAAATTTTTACGATGCGCGCGCACACCGACACGATGAAGTTGATTGCCAAGCGACCAACTTCACACTGTTACCATGGCAACCGATAACAACTTTAGACATTTAACTACAACTCCAAGTTATTTAATTAAACCGTTATCAATTGAATTTAATGTATTTTTCACAAACAAAGGGTACTGGCACAGAGGATAAATTTATTCATTATTTTTCTTTTGCTACGCTAAAGAAGTATAGCTTCTTACGTGCGTATAAGTACACAAATATTTATGTCATTTTATTAATTTGTTGCAATTACCTTAAGGTTTATTATGGGCGAGCTTACTGTCTTTTGGCATTCTCTCCCAGTCAAGCCCGTATATGATCCCGTCATTTGAAAATTACTATAAAGTTTTTTTAAAGTAGCACCTTATTACTTTAAACAAAGATTCAAGCTCGTGGGTTGTGGCTACCTCATGAATTCTGCGTCCGATCATCTGGTGAGCGAGGTCTGGTGAGCGAGGTAGCCGAGGCCCAATTTATTTAAAGGTGGCAACGCATCTGCAACCCTACGGGTGTTGCAAATATCCATGAGTGGCGGTTGTCACTTACCGTCGGGTAAACTGCCGGTTCACTTGCCACCTTCTCTTAAAATAACTACACCGCTTTGTGCGGGCTCAAAACCCATCTGCGTACAACAGTAAACGTACGCTGGTTAGTACGTATAAAAATCACTGCTATGGCAAAAAAACTTCCACTGTGGTAGGGTCACTAATCCGGGGAAGTACCAAGGCTTCACGGAAGACCGGCGTGGAGTGGAAGTATGTGATGCTTTCGCGTTTCGTCCGGTGAGTGAGGTAACCTTCGCGCACGGTCTATTATATTCTTTCGTTGTAACGAAAACTATACTGATCCTGTAAATTTCCTAGAGTTCCAAATTCGAGCATTATCAAGATATAAATATAGAAGATGTCGAGGAAGTGGAGACACTCCAAAGGTACCGCGTTTTCTGTTTATTTATATTTGTCCACAACTGTAGATACAAATTCTAGATGTTTATTAATAATAAAACCAAAATTGCTGTATGGTGTCGGCGTAAGAATAAGCAACATCTCATCCCGTGGGTGTCGTCAGAGGCAACTAAAGGGTAAGCCACAAACGTTCGGTGGCCTCAGATGGCGGGATAACCATTTCAATTCTCCAGACCCAAATATCCAGGCCAATAACGGGCAGCAGCGTTGAAGGTGCGAGTTGTCTGGAAGAACTATGGGGGAACCCTATGTTCGGCTGTGGACTCAAACTTACTTAGTTGTACATTTCTAGTGTCGTCAAGAGCGGATCCCGCTTTGGTGGCAGGGGGGGGGGGGGTCATTTAGTCGTGGTCAAGTGATAAGACGTTATAATTTAATTTTTATAATCATAGATAGAAGTAAAAAGTAGGTACTTATTTTTAACCGACTTCAAAAGAAGGAGGTTATCAATTCGGATGTTTATATTTTTTTATGTGGCTATGTTCGGGCATACCTTCGTCATATATAGACGGATTTGCAAAATTCTGTTTTGCTCGTACATAGAACAAACTTTTTTTTAAAAAAATTTGGCATTCTATTTCCTAAAAACAACAACAAACTTGTTGACAATGCGGTAGTCATTCATAAATGAGTCTACTTTTGAAACGAATATGTGTGCGTGTTAGTTATCAATGATCGCGCGTAAAATAAATGAGTTGCCCATAAATCACGCACTTTCTGAGATAAGTTCAAATGAATGTAATTAATTAATTAAGTGATTTTAAAAATTTATCCTTTTTATATAACTTTATTTATGTTTAGAATTTAACAAAAAAATGGATACACTTAGGAAAGCCACCCTGTGTAGTATTTTTTTAAGTAGCTATTGGTAGGCTTACTTATTTTTGGAATTTCTTTTATTTGTTTCTTCGTTACCAAATTTTATGTAGTTGTATTGGTTATAATATTCTCTATTCCTCTACTCCGCACGCTGGCTCCACTTCAATGACTAGTAGCCTAAGACGAGACTATCGGGACACGGGTTGATATTAATATATAATCAACCCAAATGAAAACTCCTAAAATAGCCGTACACAATATTTTTTTTTTCATAAATAACAAAAAAATATTTATTCAGTCATTCATATTGGTTATAATATTCTCTATTCCTCTACTCCGCACGCTGGCTCCACTTCAATGACAAGAAGCCTAAGACGAGACTATCGGGACAAGGGTTGATATTAATATATAATCAACCCAAATGAAAACTCCTAAAATAGCCGTACACAATATTTTTTTTTCATAAATAACAAAAAAATATTTATTCAGTCATTCATTCATTCATTCATTCATAATATTCAGCGCTTCTAATCCATCTAATCAAAGACAGATTCATAACAAATGGAAAGAACAATCTTTATTTCCCAAAGATGGTCTCCACCACATCTCACCACCCATCAAAAACGGTCCACCCACTAAGACGAATCAAACTCGACGCAGTTGTGTTACTTAATTACTGAGTTCCTATGGCCACATTCAAGCTCTGTCATCAGACCCTGGTTACCATCTAGTACCAAAGAACTCGTCATGACGAATCAAACGAGCCGAGACGCAATAGGGTTGCGTCGTTTCTTTACTGAATTCATATGACTATCTTCCAGCTCCATCATCAGATCAGACCCTGGTAACCATCTAAAAATTAGGAACTCACCAAGACGAATCATCATCATCAGCCGCAAGACGTCCACTGTTGAACATAGGCCTCCCCCTTAGAACGCCACAACGAACGACACTTTGCCATTTGCATCCACCGGTTCCCCGCGACTCTTATGATGTCGTCGGTCCACCTAGAGGGAGGCCTTCCAACGCTACGTCTTCCGGTTCGTGGTCGCCACTCGAGAACCTTTACTCCCCATCGGCCATCAGTTCTTCGAGCGATGTGGCCTGCCCACTGCCACTTCAACTTGCAGATCCGGAAGACGAATCAAACGAGCCGAATCTCGATGGGGTTGAGTCGTTTCATTACAGAGTAGTCATAGGAACCTCACAGAATAGCCTCAGACCTCACAGAAGATCGGCGTAAAGTACTTCTGCGATTTGTCTGGTGAGTACCTCACTCAAGAGATGCATTTTTCTCCGGCTCTGGCTACCTAGCCGGAGCCCACTTTATTATAAGGAGAAAACGCATCTGCAACCCTATGCATGGACGGCTGAAGATGGAGCTCCATCATCATATCGTAGTTACATCAAACAACTATCTGTGGACAGCACACATAGTTGTCCCGTATGGGAATCGAACCCACGACCCCCGACGAATACCAATCGAATTGAGAAACTCCTCCTTTTGAAGTCGGTTAAAAATATTATATTATTTTAATTATATATTGAAGGTACTTACATAAAATCTATATATGTGTGCAAAAAATATATAAAAACATTATGATTAACAATTTTAATTTGTGGTCCACCAAGCCCAGGGGGGGGGGGGTCATGACCCCCATGACCCCCCCCCTGGATCCGCCCTTGAGTGTCGTAGTGACTGTTTATACAGGGAGACTTTTCTAAGTGTATCCATTTTTTTAATTAAATTCTAGACATAAATAATGTTATATAAAAAATAAATATTTTAAATCACTCTTAAGTAATTAATTAAATTCATTTGAACTTATCTTAAAAAGTGCGTGATTTATACGCAACTCATTTATTTTATGCGTGATCATTCATCAAGTTCGTTTGCATAATCTATAACATGTATTTATGTTATAAAAAAAAATCTTTAACTATGTTTATCAGTTACCTCGTGTTCATAGTACAAGCTTGCTTAGTTTGTGACTAGACAACATTTTAAAAATGTCCTATTCTAAAATAGATGATACTAGTGTTAGCTATACTTTGTTTTATCGAACTAAGAAGGTAGAAATATAAATACTTTTATTTGGTAAAGCTACCGTAGTTTTACTTTGCACAACAATAACACTGGTATAATTATTACTTTTTTTATCACTAATGAAACACCACTCTAGATACCGATTGGGCAGCACTATCGCGTATACTTCTTGATGACAGCCAGAGAAAGACGAAGACGACGAAAACCATCAAATGCTTCTTGCAGCTTCATTTATACCCCACAGAATGACACTTCTATTAGTATTGCCAACAACCTAAAGGAACGACTTCCTTTAGTGTTGCCAACACTAGGTCATTAATAATTTAGATCCTGAGATGTTCCAAGCCAGAGACTTCTAGCTTTGTTTTTCCGTTTGCTGAAAAGTGTTTTACGTGTAGTTATATATGTTTTAAGATCGATAAAGGATTCATTTGTTTATTGCAGACAAGAAACACCACAACTGGAAGAGGAGGAGGTCAATGAAGGCTCTTTTTCGGTCTTGGGGTAAGTTTTTAAAGCTTTAACACATAATTCTTTATGATCAGTTTTTTTTTTTTTATTTGTAAACTGACCCGCCCCGGCTTCGCACGGGTTAAAAGTATTCGTCTAGTGAGCGAGGTAGCCGGGGCCCACTTTATTTAAAGGTGGCAACGCATTTGCAACCCTAAGGGTGTTGCAAATGGGCGGCAGTTATCACTTAACATCAGATGAACCGCCAGTTCGTTTTCTCACTTATAAAAAAAATTATAACATAAATCGCTTCCGTAACATGTTTTGAAACTTTATTGTATAGGTTTCATCGGACCTTTAAAGTAATGACATTGACCTTACCCGATGGATTTCCACCTCCAGGAGTATTCACAACGACAGCCTCCACGTGATACCAAGCCACGTTCCAGATATTGACTCGAAGATTAACTATGAAAAGGTTGGATATTTTATCCGTCAATTTTTTTTATACTTTATTATACACCACAAGGAATTTAAAACAATAACGCCCGGTTTCTAAAAACACTGATCATGGTAGATGTCAACTAATCAGCTGTCAAATAGCTTTTAAAAATATTATTTTTATCATTAAGAAGATCATTCTGGTCAGTTCAGAGAGTTTAACCATCTTTTTGGCAACTAAAATGAAATTTGAAAAGCCATTTGACGGTCGGAAACAAGGAAAACAAGGCGGTCTCTCTTCCAGACAACCTTAGGACGAGGAAAAAAAAGTAATAAGTATTCCAATCAAAGTGCTAGAATAACTTATCCATGTCTTATTATTATAGTTATTATAAGGATTTATTTCCTCTCTTGACAATATCATTGACCAGTACCTAGCAGTGAGACAAATAACGAATCAGCTGTAGGTTACTGACCTACTCCTTATTTATAAGCGGTGGTAGCAAGAAGCTTGCTCTACCATAATAAAAAATAAATAGTATGACACCTTTGACTACTTGATGTAACACTTGAGAGTATAGTCACGAAACGGACTGGGGTGTCGGACGTCCTGATGTCATTGGTCTTGGACTTTAGAATGGAAATTCTATAATACAAAAATATTAATAAAGTTATTATTTTCTTAAGAAAGTTAACGGTTTTGTTGACCTGTAAAACAAAGATTTATTTCTCTGTTAACAAATTATCTTACAATGTAACTGTTGAATGAATTATATGAAACGAAGAAACGACATTTGAGGATCCCTACAATAAAAATTACGCTTAACCTTCTTTATGAGTTACTTCCATCCTAATATCATTGACCAGATCCCACTTAATTCGCCACTTCGCGGTGGGTAGAGCGCATGTGATCATGCGTAATCTATGTATGACGGAACCATAGATACAGCACCATAGATACCCAATCATCATCATCTTCTGCCTTTTTCCCATTTAGGTGGGGTCAAAATAACAAGTGAATCATATTGTAAGTGGATTTTCTAGGTTTTCTACGACCGGCCGCCTGGCTGACGTCAACCCTTCTGGCAACAAACACATATCCGGAACAACTATCTGTGGGCCACACAAACACTTGTGTGGGAATCAAACCGACGAGCCCCGGCGCTGAAGCCAGTAGCTTAGCGACTGCGCCCCTTATTATATTTCTACTAGCTTTTCGTCCGCAGCATCGCTCGCGTTGAAGTCCTTAAATAAATATCGTTCTTTAAAAACGACATGTATATTTTTAAAGAAAGATATTTTCAACCCTTTACAACACTTTTTTCCAATAAAAAAATAGCCTATGTCCTTTCTCAGGCTACTTGTGTACCAAATTTCATTTAAATCGGTTCAGTAGTTATGGCGTGAAAGCGAAACAGATAGAGTTACTTTCGCATTTATAATATTACTATGGATTAGCCTTAAACTATGACGTTATTGGTGTGGTAGGACCACGCAACAGTCCTCGCTGTTGCACGAATGGGCAGGTCCGGGGAAGTACCACGACCTCACAGAAGACCGGCGTCAAGTGGAAGTATGACAAATACTTTCGCGTTTCGTCTGGTGAGTGAGGTAGCCGGAGCTCACTTAATTTAAAGGTGGCAACGCGTTTGCAATCCTACGGGTGTTGCAAATGTCTACGGGCGGCGGTTATCACTTAACGTCAGGTGAACCGACGGCTCGTTTGCCACATTCACGTTCACACACGTTGTCGTGCCATCCAGGTGTGCCCGATGGAAAGCTGTAAACGGATGCAAGTGGATTCCTTCATCCGTTCGCTTCCGCCCTACATGAGGGGAAACCCCTACACGCACTTCGAGAACACATTCGAGGAGTACGAGGCCTGCAGCCCTGGTAGGTTTTATTATGATAATTACAGCCTGTTTAATTCCTAGACTGTGTAAGACATAGGCTTCTGTCTTCTTTTACTGTCCAAGCCCCTCTGGAACGCCCACCGCGATAAGATCAAAACAGCTGTATTATTTTTTGTACGTACCTACTACCACTAGGCCAAACTAAAGCCTGTCCTGTGGTTGCCAGTTACGATTGCAAATTTTCCAGTCGATAGAACGCCTCGTTCTAAAACTAGTTCAGTTTTGACTATTTAAAGATTATTTTAACGACATATAGATTTACGTTCTAGTGTAGGATTGTGGAGAAAGCTTTGCAGTATTGAAACTGACTTTGCTCGTATCTTTCAGCGGACTCATTTAAAACGTTTCTAAATAAATTTATTTGGACGATTGGCCTAATAGGTAGTGACCCAGCTTCATGCTTCATGCTTCATGGGTGTGGGTTCGATCCCCGCTTTGGGAAAAATATTGCGAGATGAATGATCACCATGAAGTGTTTTTCCACTGTGTATATATTTATATTTGTTGTGTTTATATATTTATAATATGTATTTATTTACAAAAGAAAAGTATGCTTAAGTATGTTCATCAGTTATCTAGTACCCATACTACAAGCGTCGCATAGTTCGGGACTTGTTATATAAAGCTGTCTCCTGATATACTTTATTTGTAGAAGAACTAGAAATCCTTAAACAACGGATAGCCAGCAAAAAGAAGGGTGCCACGGACGAAACGGAGTATTTAGAGGAGTCACCGCTGGAGGAATGGGTTGAGGAGTCGAACGAAATAGCCGTGCAGACGTCGCAACTCTCACTCTCCCTGCCATCCTGCACTTGTCACAAGGTCACCGAAGAGGAGGTCCACGGGAGAGTATACAATAGTATGCCTTTGTCTATTTCATAGTTTATGACAATGCTTGGGCACGAATTATATTTTGTACCCACCATCGTAAGTACAAGAATAGAACTGACACGTAGAGATGGCTGTGAAAAGATGTTAGCGAGCAGGTGGTACACCTGATACCGAGGAAGTGATTACCGCCGCCCATGCACATCGACAGCACGAAGGGTTACAGATGCGTTGCCAACCTTTAAAAATTGGGCCTCTGTTGGTTCACTGATCGAAAGACGAAACGACAGATCAGACGACGGAAGTATAATACTTTCTACTGGAAAGTGTAATACTTACAGATGCTACTGCGTGGCCGGCCCTACCACAGTAAAAATAAAAAAAACTGTTTGTATAGACCTTGCCTTTTTTGATAAAAATAGTTCAAGTGCCGCTACCGCGGTCAGGGAAAGGGATCCTCACCACCGACCAGCCATTCGCTGGTCGAAATACACGCCCGAGCATTGGGGACAAGGCCCCGAGGCTCGTTCAATAAAAGAACATGTAGTAAAAATAGATCAAGATCACCTTAAAATAAAAAATAACCACACACACACACGGGTCGTCCACACACTGCCCTAGGAGTCGGGCAGGTGCAGGTACGGGCATCGGGGAATCGAACCCCATAACCCGGGCATTGTCTCAAGGGGCGCACCGTCCCCCCGGTCAATGGCTCCTAATATCGGACGCGAACAGTGTGGAAATAACGCGTGACTCTAAAGTTTACGTTATCCTATATGATGTACCATAGGCGCTACGGATGCGCGTAAAAATGTGCCGACACTGTTTACCTTCAACACTACATAACTAATAAATTAGTCATGTAGTGTTAAAAAAAAATAACCCAATACCTTTGGTGTTGACACTAGGCGAACACAAAATTAAAAAATTTCAAGCCAAATTTCTTGACTAGGGAAGTAGGTACTCGAGGTTCGGATGAGTTTGTATATTAAAATTTGCGAGAGAAATGGTTTTAACTACGTATTGCATTAAGTCATAGTTTACATTTCGTCGCCACGTAGATCCCATACAGGTCCTGAAATTTAGGGGGTCGTACAGTCAGACAGACAAAAGAGTAACAAAGTAATCCCATCAGTTCCGTTTAAACAGACCGAGATAAGACGTCTGAAAACCGAAAACTAGTTCTTCAACAAACCATTCGGCAACTTGTCGAAGTGTAAAATAACGAAACATTTTTTTGACAGTCGAAGAACTGCTGCCGGTAAAACGAGCACTCGACGAAATCAACAAGAAATACTTTTTCGACGGCAACGTCGAGTTCAACAGGTTCAAGGTCGTTGGACACGACGATGATGACGTCATGTAAGATTTCATTTAATTTTCCGAGGATCATAAACATAGTATTCAAAAATATATTTATTCAAATAGACGCTTGCGCGCTCTTATGAATCGTCAAATTTTACATAAAAAAATTATGTATACAGGGTGGCTTTTCTAAAGGTGCCCAAATTCACACAGGAGGTTCAGACTCGGCAGTATAATCGTTCATTGAAATGAAGACAAACTTTTTTTTATCCAAAAAAATTGCCATTCTATTCCCTAAAAAACAGAATTTGTTGACAATGCGGTAGTCATTCATAAATGCGTCGTATACTTTTGAAACGAAGTTGTGTGCGTGTTAGATACGAATGATCGCGCGTAAAATAATTGAGTTGCCCATAAATCACGCACTTTTTGAGAAAAATTCAAATGAATCTAATTAATTACTTACGAGTGATATTAAATATTTATTATTTTTTTTATGACATTATTTATGTCTAGAATTTAATTAAAAAAAAATTGATAAACTTAGAAAAACCTCCCTGTATAGGTTCGTAAGGTACCACCGGAATAATTTGGCCTTGGGAATTATTTAGTTTTCTTTTTTACGTGCAAATGCTATGTCAAGTATGTTGGTTCACCTGATGTTAATTAATTACGGCTATGGACATTACAATACCTGACGGGTTGTAGATGCATTGCCAAACTAGAAAAACGAGCCCTGGCCACTTTACAACTATAATACGATTCCACTTTACATCAGTCTCCAGGAATGCCATGGGAGTTTCCCGGACGAGGGAGTCCATTCTTACAACAGCAGAAACTATTACGTTGCCCTACTACAGTAATTTAGTAAGATTCAAAGCCTATTGATATCTATGTGTGCTCTCTTGCATCATATCAAAACATACCTATTAACGGTGGTAGAGCCATGCAGTAGCCTCGGCTGTTGCACGAATGGGCAGGCTCGTCCGGGTAAGTACCACGACCTCATAGAAGACCGGCGTAAAGTGGAAGTAGACTTTCGCGTTTCGTCTGGTGAGTGAGGTAGCCGGAGCCCAATTTCCAAAAAGGTTGTCAACGCATCCAAACCTTCTGGTGTAGCAGATGTCCTTGGGCGGCGGTATTCACTTAACATCAGGTGAACCGTCTGCTGGCTTGACAACTTTTCACATAAAAAAAAATACCTAACCCCCAAAAATTTCTATCGGACCTAATCAGTCTCATTTCTGGAACTAAGTCCCGAACACATGTTCGTAACCTATTTAAAGTGAGAACCAAAACATAGGTATCTTCATCATGTAAAATATCTTTAAAAGTATCTTTATATTTATTTACAATACTTTCAATTATTGCTTATTAACAAATTATCTACTAAACAATTTTCCTCGTTTTCAATATTCCATTTTTTATTCTAGAACTCGCATAATTATTTTAAACTATTTGACATTCTCTTCTAAAAATAAAATTTATAAAATGATTTTTAATGCCCCCCAGGAACGCGATGCAAAATCAACGGACCGATGATAAAGTGTATGAAATAAAAAAAATCCTTCAAAATCAACCGAGCTTGTGTGACATCTTTCAAGGTTATATTGGATAATGGCCGAAATAAAATGATGAAAGCGTTTGTCTTTATATATTTAATCAATACGTCGTTAACAAAACTAAAAGCTAATATAAATATTTGAAAAAGGACTTACGTTTAAAACAGATTAAAAATAGTAAAAGATTTAGTTCAACACTTGTCGTTTCGAAAGGTGTTTTAGATGTAGACTAGTTTCGCAACTGTTGCCATTTTATCATTAAAGTTTAATAAAATAAAGCGTAATTTCCCTATGTTTTGTCGGTGAAGGTTTTTTAACGATAATATAATTTATATCACAGTGATTTGGGGACCGTTTTCGGTCGTGATTTCAATGTTCAGCGCCACCGCGCCTGCAATGGTCTCCTCGCTGTCTTTGAATTCGTCCGCGTCTTGGCTCTCCTTCAAATCGGCCCCTTCGACCCCCCTAAAATCGTCCAAATTTGCGCTGTCGATGGCAACACTCGGTTCCCTTTCTATTTCCTCCTTTTTGATGTCCGTTGAATGTCTCGAGGCGGTCTTCGCCAAATCTGCCTTTGGCAACACTATCTTCCATTCTTCCAGTCTTGGGATCCTGGAAATGTCCATCGCTTTGGTAGGTTCAAATTTGACGGGAATTATAGTTTGCTCCTCTTCCGGCAAGGGGTCGTACGGTAGGGACGAATTGCTCTGCAGCGATTCCGCTTCTCTGCGCCTGGATTGTTTCCTCTCGAGTTGCTTCTGTAGCTCCTCTATTCTTTCGTCTTTGAGTTTTAACAGAATGTCAAGGTGTTCGACCTGATGAAATGTGTGAGATGTTAAAATGGTAGACGGGAATAACGGCCAGTTTCTATATGCTATGTACAGATAGATATGGTTACTGGAGATAGAATTTTGACACAGGTAAAATGAAGCAAATATAAAATATCAATTTGCTAAAACGTAAAAATTAAAGTAACTAACATCTTAAAAATTATATCTAGTAAAAGGCTATAAACTTGAATAACATTAAAATGATAAACTAATACAAAATATATACTAGAACAATGAAACTAAAACTAAAAAGCTTAAAAAAAATAATGTAATAACTAAAATATATTATTAAAAAGAGTCCCTTTAGGCAAGGTTTATACGAAGCTAATGTCAAATATCTATCGCTAGTAAAAAAATCTATCTGTAGATTGAATATTGAAACCGGCCAGATTGAAGATAACATGGAAACTATGATAAGTTAACGCCAAGGTACAACAATGAACAACACTATGTGGTTGACGTCTGTTTAAATTTACAAGCAGTGATAATTTGCCATCCCTAAAATAGCCGGCTACCTCACTTCCAAAGGGAATGAAAAGTATATATAATACTATATATAATACTATATATAAGACATCTACTTCAAGCTGGTCTTCTTTTAGGCTGTGGTACCGACGTTGACCAAGTTGAGTGGCCCTACCGTGAACTTGGAACCCTAGCCCGTGAACTTGATTTACGCGATTAACTTACAACAGTTTCTGTTGACCATGAAGCCTTATCGAAACGTCGGGAATTAAAATTAAAAATAAACGCGACAAATCCGTAAAATTAGTTTCATTTACCAACGGTTTCTAATATCACCGACTCCATAAAAATGAGTGGACGTCGTTAATATCACTTGGAAGAAGAGGGGAGGGGGATGATTAGCGTTTGTCTGTACACATACCTTTTGTTTGAGTACATCCACGACCTCCTTTGCATCCTTCAGCTCCTCCTTAACTGCTAGATAGGACTCGTGGCTAACGACCTTTTGCTGCACCGTCTCGAGCACCCCATTCACCCTGGTCTTCAGAGGCACCACCAGCACGTTATCTACACCATGTGTTTCCAATCATTGTCATATATTTGTGATATACAAATGAACACACGTCTAACGCTACTTGCCAATAATCATAAAAAAATATAAACGTTAAACAAAATCCATAATTAAAAAAAAGATATTTTTCAAACAAAACTAATTAAGTAAAAAAGAAACGAAATTTGTAACACCTATGCAACTCGCGCCATAGCGTTGCATTACAAGCATCTCCTAATAGTATGTTTTGTCTCTTTTAAATTCATTCAACCCATTCATATGCTCTGTGACCTTTACAAATGAACTTTACGTTACAGTTTTTTACGTAATGGTGTTCTAAAGTTGTTTGTTTTGGAAAATTTAATAACTCGGTAAATATTGATGTTTAGAGAATGTAAATGTTTTATGCAATTTTAAAAATTTATCCTCTATATGTGTTCATTTATTGTCGCGGTGGTAACGACACACTGTATATCTCAATCATGCATATGCTTTTAACCAGAGTTTAAAATTAAGTACATACGCGTATATTCACACCAAATCTTAACTTTATGGTTATAAATGCGAGTTTGCTACTTGCTTGCGATAAGTTGCGAGTGCTGTTTTACAATCGTACTCGAAAACGTATGAACCTGCTAATGGTGTATTATAACAAAACCATGCCAATTTTTCGGGCAGACGTCTCTCGAAATAAGCATACTTTTGTGTCACCTTAATTAGGGATACCAGGTTTTACAGAGACATCGTCCTTCCGCGTAACGTATTGTAATTATGCGTTTCGTCTAGTGAGTAAGTTTACGTGGTGGGCCAACTTTTTAAAAGGTTAGAAACACATCTCGTGGCGTCACACATCGGTGGTGCAGTTGCCAAGCTATTTGCACCGACGCTGGGGGTGATGGGTTCGATTCCCACGCGGGACAACTATTTGTGTCGCTCACAGATAATTGTTGCGGGTCAGGTGTTCGTACGTGTGAAATTTAGGTTTGTTTAACGCTATTACAACACAGGACAATTTATAATCACCCTACAGTAAGGAAAATGTTGTTATAATTAAATGTGATAAAATCTGCAGCCTCACGGGTGGTGGAATCTTTGGACAAGTGCAATAGTAATCACTTAATCACTAAATATCTATTTTCTATTCTATTTCTATTTGAGAAGGTGGCAAGGGAGCTAGGGCTTCACCTGATGTTAAATGATAACCGCCGCCCACAGACATTTGCAAAGGCCGTAGGGTCGCAGATGCGTTGCCACCTTGTCTTAAAGTAGGTTACACCGTGACGCAGTTTCCGATCGCCTTCGGCACAAGGGGTCGTGTATTCGATTCCAACTCGTGACAACTATTTGTGCGACCCACGAATCGTTTCGAATCTGGGTGTTTGTCAACGTGAAATTTATGTATCCAAAACGTCTTTACAACACAGGATGATGTTATCCTAAAGAAAGAAAAATAAAGAAAATAGCAGAAGCATAACACTTCCACCAGTTCCATCGGGTGAGAAGGTGACAAGGGAGCCAGCGCTGGCAGAAAAATAAAAAATAAAAATAAGAAACAAAGAAGTATAGCACTTCCACTCTTTCTATCGGGTGAGAATGTAACAAGCGCTCGAATAAAAACAGGATATACCGTCATCTCCGCACGCTTCATAGTAGCTGCCGCCGCTGGAAAGGTTCTGTTCCGAATCCTTCAGGCTCTTATTCGCCTCCTCGTCGCGTCGTATCTTATCGCGAACTGTTGGCAGTAAATTAATGCAATGAATAAACGGGCCGTTTCGACCATAGACTTAGATCCCAACGACCGGTTTCCGAAACACCGATCATCGTAGATGTTCACTAATCAGCTGTCAAGTGGGCTGCTTTGAATTTATCCGTCTGATCATTAAGATGACCATTCTGATCAATTCAGTGAGTTTAACCATCCTTTTGGCAAATCAAATGATATTTGAAAAGCAGAAGACAGTTCATTAGTTAACTTCTACGATGATCAGTTATTCAGAAACCGGGCGTAAGTCTATGGTTTTAACAGACTCCCGAAGGTGTGTGTATATCGAGCGTAAGTCTAGTTCCCTGGCTCGATCTACAGCATAAACCTTTAGACGAATCTCAACATTTGAGGTGAGGTAACATTTGATTCGTCTCAGTTTCTGGAGTTACATGGGGTAGAACTATTATTTGAAGAAATAATTAAAAAAAAAAACTATTTAATATCTTCTGTGTTGTAACTATTTATAATTTGTTGGGGAGAATTTTTTTTTTGTGTTAGAAAGTGACAAAGTTTCACCTAATGTCAAGTGATTACCACCGACCATGGACATTTACAACACCCGTAGGGTTGCCACATTTTTATAAAGTCCGCTCCGGCTACTTCACTCACTGCACGAAACACAGAAGTATGCCACTTCCACTTTACAATTAAATATTGAATATCTTACTCGTCTTATGACACTTTACCCAACTACAAGTTAATATGTTTATATAACATAGTTATATACAGTTATTACTTTTAACCATTTTCTACAGCTAGGCTATACCCGAAGTTGACTTAATTTTTCAGTTGAGAGCTGTATTCAACTATAGTTTTCTATATAGCACGAAATCTATTTAATTTCACTATTTTTTCTGCATATAATGTATAGAAAACTGTAATTGGATAACAAGCTTGCTGGGTGTTATTTTCGGATAAAGTGAATAAAATACAAAAATGAGTTTTGCGAATTTTATTTCTTTTTCTTTAATATTGCTTTGTCGAATGTCTTTGCTCCAAATGATGAAATAAATTCAACCTAGTCCGCTGTGTTTTGTGCAAGCAAAAAAGTTAAAATCAATGAGAACAGATACTTTACTGTTCTCATGTAATTTTTTCTAAAAGCCACACCCACAGCCACTGCCACATCTTCAATTGCGGAAAACATCCGCACGATATATTCATGACGGAAATTCTCTTAATTTAACATATTCATTTCCATCCCTGTTAAATAAAATGTCCTTACATTTATTGCATATTTTAAAATCTTTTGCTACTTTACTCGTTTTATCCTACAACATAACCAGTAATCCACCATATCCAGTGTAAACTCTACTATTGCCCTTTTTTTCTTCATAATTCACAATGTCATGAAAATTTATTTATGTTATATTTAGTACTTTCTAATAAATATTCCATGGATTGAAAACTTTCACAAATTATTTTCTTCGACTCTAAAGAATGATAATTTGATAAATTATTTATTACTAGCTGTCCCGCCAAACATTGTTCTGCAATATAAATTATTTCTAGGGAACTTGTAAGGTAGAAAAAACTGTTTAGGGTGGACCATAAACAGTTTTTCCACCCTTAACATTTAGGGGGATGAAAAATAGATGTTATCCGATTCTCCAACCTGGCGGTTATGCACACAAAATGTTACGAAAATCGGTTCAGCCGTTTCGGAGGAGTTCAATAAATGAAAGTACAAACACCGTGACACGAGATTTTTATATATCAGATTAAACTTGTAAAATCTGATTCAAACCCTGATGTTGATGAGGATATATTTCTATGACTGAAGAGATGACATTTTCAGATCTTGTATTTTTATGATAATTACATCTCTTTACAGTTATTTATCATCAATAAGAAACATAGAAGACGAGCTTAATAGATTTATGTGATAAAAAAACATTATGACCTATTAAGAAATACTTAATACACACAATATTCATACCTGATTTTTGTTATTTTATTCATATGTGATGTGCCCAACTGAAAACAATCAATAGAAAGAAAGGACAGCATATATTTTTGTTACAATCAAATATAAAATGTTTCGTCTTAATTTGCCTATGAATCAAAAAATTAAGATTTTAGATTTAGGTAAAAAGTTAGGCTGTTAATTTTTCTTTATCATATCAGAAAAATAATATATTTATATTTTTTGAGTACCTTTAGAAGCTCGTTGATCAAAATAACGTTGTTATTATTAATATTAGGTCTTTACATATGAAATTGCCGTTTTGTATGAAAAAGTTTGAGTTTAACTTTGTTATTTCTGTTATCCTAAGTGATCAGCCATGCAATAGATGCATCATTATCAAGGCAGTGGTAGTTTATTGATACCCGTCTTGTAAATATCGGCTGGACGGGAGGTTACAAACCCTTCAAAGGCATTTTGTACCGCCGCGCGGGAATATATTTTTTTTCCGCTAAAAACTTATCCGAATTTTGGAAAAAGTAATAGTCGGTAAGTGCAAGGTCTGGTGAGTACGAGAATTCACAACCAATCAAAAGTTTTTTTGCTTGAAATTGACAGTACTGAAAATGGCAGTTTCATAGGTAAATACCTATTATATAGACGTGGTTAACAGTACCTGTGTTTGTTGATGGTTTAACCAGTGTTGGATTGTGGACTGATTCATTGTTAATACCTGACAAAGACCTTTTAAGTGTGGAACCTGTAAAAGAAAAATGTGTGTTGGATTAATGTTGAACATTATTAATTACAAAAAACAATTGTTTTTTTTAACTGCATTTTATTATCTTCGAAGCACTCAGGCTCATCAAATAGAAATAATCGAAGTTTTCTCAAAATTAAGTACTTTTTCTGCAATATCACAAACACTTAGCCGTAGTAAGTGCCCTGATACACCACATAAACAAATTTTATTCATGTATAATATGTATGGCCCAACTCAAAATAATCAATAAAAAGAAAGGATAGCACATATTTTAGTTATAATCAAATATGAAAGAATTTGTCTTGAATGAATTAAAAAATTAAAGAGAATTCAGAATGCAAAATATTTAGTTTCTTTAACTTATCAGAAAAATATATATATTTTTGGTAACCATTAGAAGCTTGTAGATTAGAATACTTTTGTTACTATTAATAGATAGTACATTAACAGTACCTGTGGATTTTGATGGTTTAACCAGAGTTGAATTGTGGATAGAGCAGTCGGTAGAACCTGAAAGTTTAGGGCCTAAAAAAGAAAAATGGTGTTGAATTAATATTGAACATTATTAATTATTGTAATTTGAATTAATATTGAACATTATTAATTGTTTTTTGACTGTGTTTTATATAAGCTTTGAAGCACTCAGGCTCTCTCGAAAGCCAAAGATACTTAGACATTAACCAAAACAAAATATGATGCAAAAACAGTTTACACAAAGTATCAACTTAGAAAATACACCAATTTTTTTTTTATGCAATACATTCAGACTGCATCAATATTTTCCAATGCATTAAAAAGAAAAAAAACAGACAAAAATATGGACAGACAGACAGTGGAGTCTTAGTAATAGGGTTCCATTTTAGGGGCCTTTACACAAAGGGTTTTTGGGTACAGGTCCCTAAAAGACTTCAAGCAAGCCTTCGCTCATTCATTTGTTTATCAAATAAAAACGATTCTAAAACATGATTGCCATATCAAAAATAAATTAAAATGTAAACAAACAAGTTGTAATATTTTCATAATGCATTGATGGATAACGAACATCCCTACCACACAGAATATAGAAAATAAATGAAATATTTCCCAAAGTACCAAGTGCCAAGTACTATAAACTTAATACAAAATCTATAGATGCACCTTTTAAATACAAGGTTGGAATGGCATTTGAACTTAATCTTCTGCTCCTAGTGTGATACTTTAATTCAAAGTGTTTGTGACATACTTTTCTGTTGTTATAAATGTATTGGCTATCCAAGATCAATAAAGGTCCTCCAATTGACTGAATCCAAGCTTGAAATCTGTCACATTCCTTTTCAGGATTGGGAAAACAATGGAGAATTGGGTTGCAGTCTGTACCTGCAAATACAAAAATATGAATGTTTTGCCGTAAGCATTACAAAATTAAATGCAAAAAAAACCAAGGAAATTACCACGTGATGTAGTGCATTCACGAGCACAACAATTTTTCATTGAAGTCATGATGTCAAAATCTAAATGAAAAAGCAACTCGAGGTCCAAAATCGTGGGCAGGGTTAATGTATAAAACGAAGATATCATTATCCAAAGAAAAAACCAAAGTTGTAATTTGTACGAAACAATTACCATAAACACTCGTGCACAAACCGAATAACAGCTAATACTTTAATAATAACATATAGCCAAGAGAAGACAAAAGTCAAAACATGAAAACTTGAAAACAAATAGTTTGATGTTGATAAATAAGAGAAAGCCATTGGGTACTATAGTACCACGAAAATGACATTATGGTTCGGTAGATAGTATAAACAAATTCCGTCTTTTAGTCTATCATCAACTTTTGTTTAGAAAAATTCTGAAAAATAATAACCACAGAACACTTTTACTCAAAGAGATAATAACACCGAACAATAAAAATAATAATTGATAACCGACCCGACCGGCCGTATGTGCGACTGGAGTTATTTGATTCGAGTAACTCGAGTCAAACCTTAAACGAGTCAACTCGAGTTCAGTTTTAAGCAACTCGAATGAACTCGGTCGTCCGAACGCAAACCGGACGTTATACGCGGGGGCCTCACGAGTTGTTCCGAGTTACACACGCGGCTCGCGCGCGCGGTTCGTTAGGTGTTGCAACTCGCATCAACTCGTATCAACTCGAGTTGAGTGAAATGCAAAGTTACGTTACACGCGCGCGCGCCGTTAGTAAGGTGTTGCATCTTACTCGCATCAACTCGAATAGAACTCGGGTTGAGTCGGGATCGTTCGGCCAGGATCGGAAACGGAATTGCGCAAATGAAAAACCGCTTTAAAAGTTTATTTTGTTTTTTGATTGACATTTTGTTATTTAATTTTATTAGTTGGCCGTTGGCGATCCGCGTGCGAACTGACATTCTTGATTTGTTAGTTATCTGTTTTGTTTTGTTTGCAACGACGTCAAATAACAGAAGTGTGGCATGGGAATTCTTTGCTATAAAAACAGAAACTTCTTTTAACTTTATTTTCGATAAACTATCGACTATGTACAATTACATTTTATAAGTACGACTTTGAGGCGATAGAAGGCCGTGTTTTTTTGTCGTATTTTCTTAAACACGATGTTGAGATCTGCGCTGGAATAATATACACCTTTGTTGATTGATTTTCGAAATAAATTGTACATTAGTACCAACTGATTGTAAATTTTGTCTTTGAAATCCCAGCCGTCGGACACTGTTCGAGGTCGAGGTGTATAGAAAAAGGAGAGGATTAGTTCAGACCACAAACACAAAGTTGCGAATCGACTCGAGTAGCCATATAACATCACGATTCAACATCATTATTACTTCCTATCTAATTAGCCACGAGTCGACTCGTGCTCTCCGAGTTGGCCGAAGATCTGTACTATCTACTTGGCATCTGTAGAAAGTTTTTCACAAGCGGGTATTAATTTATGATGTATTCTAAAAATTTGTAAACAAGTTGATGAAAATTGTATCGCCGCCGCGAGGATTTGACCCTGCGACCTCCGGGATACGATCTACCCATTGAGCTGAACCGCCTATCTTCATGCTGATGAAAACCTCAACGTTTCATATGCCTGAAGTTTTCATTACAATGCCATTATCAGGTCAAGAACGAAATCGCTAAAATAAAATATTACATTAGGTAGGTAAAGCTGATGCGACGAAGGAAACTAAATATTCAGTGTTATCCTCTCAAGATTTTAAGGCAAAACATTACATAGCTTGTATTATTTCAATTGCCTTGGTTCAAGTATATTCTACGATCACGGATGCTTATATTGAACCGTAACTTCTTAAAAGTAAAAATGGGAAAAATGCCTTAGGATATCAATGAGTGAAAATCTTTAATATATTTTCTACTGTTTATGTAAGAGTAGGTAACAAATACACTTCATAAAGTTAGAAATGTGGAGAGAGTCACGAGGGTTGGATCTTTAGTCTCCCTTAGTCGCTCTTAGGGCCTTTAATGTAACTAAATTCAGCCAGAGGTCGATGGACAAGTAAGTATTTCAACCGATTCTGATCAAGGGCGGATCCAGGGTAGGGGGTGGTCATGACCCTCCCCTGGGCTGGGTCCAGGACCTAGGGGGACCACTAATTAAAATTGTTAAACATAATGTTTTTATATATTTTTTGCCACAATATACATTTTATGTAACTACCTTCAATATTTAATTAAATTAATATAATATTTTTAACCGACTTCAAAAGGAGGAGTTTCTCAATTCGATTGTTACATTTTTTTTTTCGATGTATGTACACCGATTATGTTGAGATTTATGATCCGATTTACGTGATTCTTCTTTAGTTTGATGCAGAATAGTTGCCATTTGGTCCTATAAAATTTTACTATGGTCTAGTAGTTTTTATTTTGTGAACATCTTTACAATATTTTAATGTTTGTCATCAAATCTTGCAAATTCAATTTGATCTACTTCCCGGTTACCGGTTGAGCTGAAATTTTGTATATATGTGTAAATCGCGAGACAATGCAATATTTTTATGACATGGTGCTGATCTGATGATGGAGCTGGAAGGTGGCCAAAGAAACTTCGCAATGAAACGACAGAGCCTCATCGCGTTTGGGTACATTTGAATCTTATTGACGAGTAGTTTGTCTTTCATTGTAACATTGTACATTTGAATCTGATCCATCATCAGATCCTGGTTCATCTCCATTTTCAGCGGTCCATTGACACATCTCTCCTTATAATAAAGTGGGCTCCGGCTACCACACAAAAAGTCAAAACGCAGAAGTACTTTACGCCGATCCTCTGTAAGGTCTATGAGGCTATTCTGTGAGGTTCCTATGACCACTCTGTAAGCAAACGACTCAACCCCATTGAGTTTCATATTCGTTTCCAGTAATTAAGGAACACAACTGCTTCGAGTTTGATTCGTTAAGACCCATTAAGATGGGTGGACCGTTTTTGATGGGTGGTGAGAGGTGTTGGTTTAGTGGACATGGGCATGCGACCCCATCTTTGGGAAATAAAGTTTGTTCGTACTGTTTGTTATGAATGTGGATTTTGTCTTTGATTAGATGGATAAGCGCTGAATATTATGAATGAATGAATGAATGACTGAATAAATATTCTTTTTTGTTATTTATGAACATTTTTATAACGTGGACGATGTAATTTTAGTTTGTGTACGGCTATTTTAGGAGTTTTCATTTGGGTAGATTATATCTTATTATTAACCCGTGTCCCGATAGTCCCGTCTTATGCTACTTGTCTTTGAAGTGGAGCCAGCGTGCGGAGTAAAGGAATTGAAAAATATTATAACCAATACACACATAAAATCTGGTAACGAAGAAATAAATAAAAAGAAATTTCAAAAATAACGAAGTCTACCAATAGCTATTTAAAAAAATACTATACAGGGAGGCTTTTCTAAGTGTATCCATCCAAAAGTATACGACGCATTTATGAATGACTACCGCATTGTCAACAAGTTCTGTTTTTTAGGGAATAGAATACTAATTTTTTTTTAAAGTTTGTTGTTATTTCTATAAACGATTATACTACAGAGTCTGAGCCTCCTGTGTGAATTTGGGCACCTACATACATAATAATAAAAAGCAACGAAATGTTACGAACAAAAAAAGAATTTTGAAAATCCGTCTATATATGACGAAATTATGCCCGAACAAAAAAAAATAAACATCCGAATTGATAACCTCCTTCTTTTTGAAGTCGGTTAAAAATACGTATTTTTTACTTGAGTCTATGATTATAAAAATTAAATTATAACTTCTTGTCACTTGGCCACGACCACGTGACCCCCCCTGGCACCAAAGCTGGATCCGCCCTTGATTCTGATATACGTTACTCTTATCATGCAGCAGAAAGTTAAACAATTACTTTCCCACTTGTGTAAATAACTACTCTAATTAATACGTCTGTTAGGAGTTTTACAAATAAGGACAGTGAGATCACACAATACATTTTTATTAAGAATTATTTACGTCTGTTGAAACGTAATAAAAATGATAGAAAACCTCTTACCAGGGAACGAGCTGATAGAAAATTGCCCGACTAACAGATCTACATAACTAGCACACATAACGCAATTAACATACAACCGGCAAAGTGCGAGTCGGTCTCACGTACCATTATCTATAAAAACAGCAAAAAAAAAATATCTATTTTTATATTTATAGTTTCTATTCTGTTGTTTAGGATTTGTTGTTATAGCGGCAATAGAAATCCATCATGTGTGAAAATTTCAACTGTCTAAATATCACGGGTTCATGAGATGCAGACTAGTAACAGACAGACAGACAACGGAGTCTTAGTTATAGGGTCCCGTTTTACCCTTTGAGTACGGTACCCTGAAATATATATCAAGTTCTTTGTGTTTTTCATTTTTAAGGTTGCGCTTGGCAGCAATTACCTTTTATGCGGCAGGCAAAGGCTAAAGAATGATGAGAGAGAGATAAAAATATAAGATAAACAAGAGGTAAAACCTAATATGAAAGCCAGCTCCATTCATTTCCAATCAAGTAGATAAGATCAAAAAATGTTTTTTCGAAAACTGACAGGGGGTAAAATCGGAATTTCATTCCGAAAACCACGCGGAGAAAAGCGGATCTTCGATCTTACCCATAATGAGGACCCTTTCGATCACGCCAGGAGCGTTGTGCGCCAGCTGTTCCATTGTGCTGGAGCACAGGTTCAGCTTCAGCCTCTTCAACACCTTCCTGTTCAACGTGAGCCAGTTGTTCAACTTCAGCGAGTGGCTATTTCTAGGTGGGTAGTTGTGCATTTCGACTAGCTTCGGGTAATGCACGCTGAGGATTTCCGCTAGGAGCACTGCAACGTAAAGATTATCATGTAAAAATAATTCAGATTCAATATGTTCGCTGAAGTATCTTCCCGAATAGAGAAAAATATTTTCTAATCATTGATAGAATGAATATTGGATTACATTTTCATGTGTCAAGGTCTGTGTGCACCTTTTTTTTTGGTATCGGGGGGAAATCTTCAAAAGATACCCTGTCATGATGGTATCTTTGCTGCAACTTCGTTATATTGAAATCGCTGATAACGAAGTTGTTGAAAAGTCGTTTTTGTACTGGTACTCAAATTCATTTTTATTTAGAATTTATATCCTGTATCTCCCAACAAATTAAAATTGTGAGTTTTGTCTTAAATATTTTGATTATATGGAAATTATAGAATCATTATTTAAATATTTGTATAAAATAAATGTTGCACGCAAAGTAATAGCGAATTCTTTAATGTGAAATTTCAAGATTGTTTCGCTCCAAATCAGGCCGTTGACAACGATTTTTGCGCATGAATTATTTCTGTATCGATTAAAACCTGTAACCTGTAACTTAACCAAACGTAACCACAATTACTATTGAATTAACGAACGAACGTAACCACAGACCGCCACGAAGAACGATCCTCAGCAACGTTCATCCATATACTTGTCACATATTTGCACAGGGCGTCACTATATCAGATGATGATGATGATGACGAAGACAATGCTACTTAATAAAACAAGTACAAGCCTCGTGTGCACCACACGTAGAAGCCACGCGCGACTTATTTGTGCAGTCAGTTTTTTTACTTTTTTAACGTTTACCTTGTAGAAGGGAGCCCACTTTAATTTGTTTTTGTTTATGGGCTTATCGCGGTTATCACTTAAAAACTACCCGAACCGCCAGCTCACTTGATGTGTAGTTGTTGATTGCTGACGCCCATGGACATCTGCTACACCTGACGGGTTATAGCCGAGACATCTTATGAGATACAGCCTACATTCAGTTATGAGATACAGCCTGGTGACGGATGGAAGGACAGACAGACAGACAGCGGAGTCTTAGTGATAGGGTTCCGTTTTACCCTTAGGAACCCTAAAAGCGGGCGCCGGCCACCTCACTCACCGGAAAAAAAGCGCAAGTATCACTTCCACTTCACGGTGGATATCTGTGAGGCCGTGGTGCATCCCCAACCACAGTTAAAGGTGCTTACCAAGTGAAATATTTGCCAGGTTGCACAGAAACAGTTCCCTTGTCTCTCTACCTACCAGCGTCGGAGAAGTCCCGGTTGATCTTCTTCGTCGGCCGCGACAACTTGTAACCGTCCACCCAGGCGAGCACCGACTCAATCTCCGTAATGGGCACGGGGGACGTGAGACTTGCCATGTTCGAACGTCGATTAGTTAAAGTGTAAAAAACGATTTATATATTGTCTATTGTTAAATGTTTGCGAGCATATGACAATTATAATTTACCGTGAACGCGACACGTCATCCAAAAAAGTTTTTCCACGTTTGACATTGTAGCGGCCACTGGCCAGTCACGAAATAGGCGCGGTGTATCTAATCAGAATGATTCTTTTTAAATTGGAATAGTTGTTTGATAGAGATTTAAATGAATTCGTTTGTCACCGTCATTTATTTTTTATTTACTACCTATCTATGCCTCTGAATTAATAAATTTTTAAATTTTAGGACACGTTCTTTTTACACAATATTTTCTAGTCCCAAACTAAGCAATGCTTGTACTATGGGTACTAGAAAACTGATAGACATACTTAAACATACTTTTCTTTTGTACATAAATACACATTATACATATATAAACACCCAGACACTAGAAAAACACTATGCTCATCACACAATATTATTCCAGTAGTGGGGATCGAACCCACACCCTCTGGCGCAGAAGGCAGGTACACTATCGACTACGCCATTCGGGTCGTCGAATTATCATCCTTATGACGGACGGATGAACAATAAATAGTTGATAAGCGATACTACTGTAAAATTAAAGTTTTTTTTCCTGGGATGCAAAATTAAAAAAAAATATTTCATGTTACAACACACCACTATCGAAAACGTCTACAACACAACACAGCATTAGCTAAGATTCCGACGCGACGATGTTTTTTTTGTATGGAGAAAAGGGGCACACGAGCTGGAGGATCACGTTGTGATGAGCAATGTCGAACATCAGAGCCAATCAAATCAAATGCAAATCAAATAAAATCTGAACCAATACTCTGTGACAAGGGAATAAAATGAGGCGACAGAACGTTTTAATCAAAACCTAAAGAATCACCGCCTAAGTTTTCCCGCCTAATGATTCCCGCGCAAACCATTACTGTTGATTCACTGTAAGGAGAAAATTCCTGAACACACCTCAGTCGCTCACTGACACCAGGGCGTCGATAGACCCTTACTCTTCACGAATCCGGTCTAAATTTAAGAAATATTCGGCATATTTGTTGGGCCCGAGGGTCTGCAAAATCTGTTGCATATTGTTGTTTCATGAACAATATAATAATTAATAATAATAATAATTCTTTATTTGCCATAACCAAAAAAAGAACAAGAAAAATACACAAAAAAATATGAACAATAAAGATATAAAATTAACCTATAATACACAAAAATAAATAAATTTCATTTTGGCAAAAAGGGTAATAAGCTCAGTGATTTCTAAGAATTTCTCAGTGCTGATTTTCAGCTTATCCCTTCTTAAAACTTACTACCTACATCGTCATTTGCAAAGATTGACAGCGGTAGTGGTAATGAATGGGCAACAATAGTAATGGATGGGCAACAGTAGGAATCCACCGAAGTAGACGAAGATTGTATGAACTTTATAGTGAAAGATCATACAACCATTCTAAGACATTTAATGATTATGTTAAAAGTTATTCAAAAATATTTAGAAAAGTGTGTTTTGCAGCCAAGTCATTACATTTAAGCAATAAAATTAAAAATGCTTCTAATAAATTAAAAATGACTTGGAATATCATTAATAGTGAAACGGGAAGGAACAAATCGCGTAGTTCTGACTACCAACTGAATATTAACAATAAAGTTATAACGAATAATCAGGAGGTGGCTGAAGTATTTGTGAAATTCTTTAGTGAGATTCCTTTTTTAACTACATTGTCCCTGAATTCTTCTCCTGCTGTTGCCGAGACATTACTCAAGGTAAATGTAAGTGCTTGCACCACAATCTTGATATTCCAGACTGTAAATTCAAAAGATATTGTGAAAATGTTTAACAGTATTGAACTTAAGAAATGGCAGATATATGGGGGATGTCCGTTGAGGTGACTGCTTCAATAATAGATGTAATTGCACCTCATTTAGCTATAATATTTAATAATTGTATAGAAACTGGCGTATTTCCTGATTTGATGAAGCACAGTAAAGTCATACCTTTATTTAAATCCGGTAGCTCTTCTGACCCCACTAACTTTAGACCTATTTCTATTCTACCGACACTTAATAAAATTTTCGAAAAACTTATTCTTGATCAGCTGTTAAGGCATTTTAATTTAAACAAATTACTACACAAAAATCAGTTTGGTTTCACAAGGGGTCGTTCTACAACCGATGCTGGTGTAGAACTGATTATATAGCATATATTTGAGGCTTGGGAAAATTCACAGGATGCTCTGGGTGTGATCGGCAATAAAACTAAATGTATAAAATTTTCGACACCTAATGTTAAACACTTGGGTGGTACCAATGTACTTATAAATGTGGACGAGTTAGGCCTTGTGGATACCACTGTTTTTCTAGGAATAACTCTTGATTCAAAGCTTCAATGGGGCCCCCATATATCCAAACTTGCTAGCAGACTAAGTTCTGCAGCATATGCTGTAAGGAAAATAAGATATCTGACTGATGTAAATACAGCTAGAATCGTTTATTTTAGTTATTTCCATAGCATAATGTCATACGGTATTTTGCTATGGGGGCATGCAGCCGATGTTGAAACAATATTTATTTTGCAAAAAAGGGCCATAAGAGCAATTTACAATCTTAATTTAAATGCATTTCTGAGAGAGAAATTTAAAGAAATAAATATTTTAACCTTGGCCTCTCAATATATTTATGAAAATGTAATGTATGTACATAGAAACATTAATAATTTTAATAAGAATACTGATGTACATAATGTAAACACTAGGAACAAACGCAAGCTTGTAACGCCAGTTACTACACTCCATAGAGTCAGTAACTCGTTCATGGGACGGTGTATACGCTTCTACAACAAAATCCCAGTTAATGTGCAAAGCCTATCTATTAACAGGTTTAAGACATTTATTAAAGAAAAACTTTTTAAAAAGGGTTATTATAATATAAATGAATACATTAACGATAATAACCCCTGGGAATGAGATGATCGCTCCTAAGCTATTTCTAAAAATATATATACTGTATAACTATGTATTTGTTGAGTAAAAAAAAAATGACAAAAAAGAGGATACCTACGGAGTTTCTTGCGCCTGTTTCTTCTCCGTTAGAGGAACCTCATTACGAAACGGTGGTAGATTTAAAAAAATTACTATCGATAAATGAAATGTATATTTCTTATTTCGATGAATAAATGATTTGAATTTGAATTTGAATTTGTAGTTGGCATATTTTTTTCAGTAGGCTCTCAATACTATGATAATAACAATAATGTGTATCTAAATATTACTACCGTACTGAACACCAAGGACAAGAAGACAAAAAAGATATATATACAAGAAAACAACCAAAACATCAAATTACAGTGAAAATGCGAAAATTAAAAAAAATTGTAAATTAAAAGGTAATCACCAAAAGGTAATCATTAAGTTAAAATCAGTATTTAATTTTGAACCGAACACAAATTTTGCTTATTGAATAAGTAGAGCCTGAGTTGTTTTGTAAAGGTATAGTTCGACACATTCATTCGTAGTGGTGGTGGTAAGTCATTCCATATCTTCGATGCGCTAAAACGCAACAAGTAAAATACATTTTTAAAAACCCAACTGCTTTTCCGAGTATTTTTTTATTTTGATATACCCAGTGTCACTCTCACAGTAAATACGAATCTAACGACACCTCTCAAGCTAAAATCCATCAAGCCGTTCAACTTGTAGACCGTGCCAAACAAACATACGTACATCCATACTCTCGAAAAACATAAGCCTCCTTCTGGGGCAGTCGAGTAAAAAGAAAGCCTTTATCCAGATAAATGCATCGATTTTGGATTTTGGTTGTAAACGTTTTTGGGGATCGACCCCGAAACGCGGCGCGATATAGCTTAACTAATTCGCCATGGCTATAATGAATAGTATTTGTTTTATGGTAAGTTTTGTATTAACAAGAAAAAATAATAAAAGTAAAATGCATAATTTTTAACGTAAGCAGTAATTATTTAAATTATTTGTTTATAGCATTACGTAGCTAGTAGTAGCCTTTTTCAATAATACAAATCAATCAATCAAATATCTTTATTCAAAGAGAAGCTTGCGCGTTCTTATGAATCGTCAAATTTGACATAAAAATTATATATATAGGTTTATAAGGTACCAAATGTAATACATAATAAGTACAATGGCAAATAAATTCGCCCGTGAAGTCTCGCGACTTTCAAGTATTGCAATCGGTAAATAGAAAGCCCTAGATGGCACTTAACTGAGGGGCATTATGGTCCAGCCGTGCAGCAAAGTTCTTAGAAAGTCACTTCGAACAACTTAGGTACTAACGATAATGTTGAACATCATATGCATTTCTCTAACGTTCGTTATATGTTCAACCCGCTCTCACAGATGACAGTGCTTATGCCACAGAGCAATCCAGGATCGTAGATCCGCGTTAATTTTATCGATAACGACCATATTTTTAAAATGTATTTTGTTTCTATTTATCCACAATATTGGCTTCCATTGTGTTTCCGTTACCGGAAGGAAGTTAGCGTAGAATAATTATTTTTTTAATTAAACGATATGCCAATTAATTGCTCTTGATATGTTCCATTAGAATCCGTAATTGCTCCACGTTTATTACTATTCATTAATTTTTAATTAATTTAAAAAAAAAATCGTAAATTTTATTTTGCTACAAAACATAAAAGGGTACGGAACCTTAAAAATGTTTCACTATAACAACCCGGAAAGGTTGTTATAGTGAACTCTTAGAATGAAATTGATACGAATTTTCATTTTTCATAATTTTAATCGTCTTCATTTTGTTTGTCAGATTACGAAACATGTTTCAGTTAAAAAATCCTATGGTCTAAAAGAACCGAGTATTTTTTTAACATTGACAAATTTTATACATTTTTTTTTCTAACCTTGGAGAGAAATCGTTTTGAATTGTAAAAAATGAAATTGTTCTGTGCGCGTTTTGATTTATTGATCGATT